TTGCCAAGTTCCCCTTTAAGGCGCCTTTATTGCGCAGCACATTATAGTATCTTATAAAAATCTATTAAATTGAAGGGCAGTTTCCTTGGTAGGTCTCCTTAAGTACACTAATTACCATCTTTACGACAAACAATGACGGTAATGATGTTTGTGTGTGTGCGTGTATTGTACTGTAGTACACTAGGAGGGGTCACTTTGCATTTGGATGAGTTTCTCAGTGCAGGCTGTATCATCTGATTGATAGCACTCATCTGGCGTGTGTATGCCAATGACCATCACCCTCATTAAGACGGTCCTTGATTGGCTGAGCGGTAATTAAGTCCATCTGGCATACTCACCTCTTTTTTAATGTATTCACACAGCTTAATTATGGCCCAGGTACAGGACTTCAATGACGAGAGTTTGAACTGAGCGTCATTAAACACCCAAAGCAAAAGGCTAATTACACCCACTTACCTCACTTCCTCCTAATTGGATTGACCCGGAGGTTTGGGGGAGCAGTAACAAGCAGACTAGTTAGGGAGACATAACGATTGTGCCCTCTGGAGGAGATTGTTAGACGTGCAGGGAGGCACTTATTTACCCTATTAAATGAGCGCCTCAGAACAGGGTCGCACCAGACAAACTGGGGGGCCTATCAATTTTCACCTCATTAAAACTCAGGTTGGAGGCAAAGGAAAAGTTTGTCAGTGGGCCCACATGCACAGCTGATTAAATCATGCAGCTACAGTGCTGTACGTCCGCAGTAAACCTTTCTAGGACACTAAACCAGCCTCTCTAAGTGAACTAGAAAGTTGACATATTGACTGGAACGCAAGCTGAGTACTAAATAAGAGCTTTGGATATTTTGATGTTTGTTCATCCTGTGTCATCAGAAGCACATCACTTACAATACAGGCATTATGATTGATAAAGTTGCTCTGTGTCCTGTTCAATAGATTGAAACTGCATAACCCTACTCATTCCATATACTCTATATGGTGCCAATTTTGAGGGGAAACTGTGCATGTGGATAATGTAATGGCTACTACAATTCCTCATATAGTCTAAGTAAAGTTAAGTAGAACAATGTTTGTTTGTTTTATGCTATTAAGCTCAGTCATTCCTCATAAAAAGCTGCAATGTATATATTTAACATTTAGGCTTTAAAACGATAACTGCAGAGCCATACTCAGTTGGCTCCCAACTTTTAAGAATGCAATTAAAGTCCTGGTGAAATGAAACATCTAATTTTAACCCTTTGAGATTGCATCCTCAGTTATATTGTACCCTTAGTTAACAATATATGCCAGAAAATGCACAAAAACTCAACTTAACCAATAATATAATCTGTCACTGCCATTAGGTCCCAGTCCTTTTACCGAATGAAGAAAATAATGTTTTATAGTGTGGGTTTTCCACAAGTGCACTAATCTTGAAAATAGCAAGGAAGCAGAAAGGGTAAACAATATCCTTTTGATTACACAGTTATTTAGACCATGAAGGTAGCTGTCCAACACTTCGATCTAAAGCCCTATGAGAGACGGAAGAATGGAGATAGAAGTCAGATGAAAAAGGGGTTTTTCTTTTATGTGATGGGCTGGCAGGCAGGAAGAGGTCAGTAATTCAGCTCGTAGGTTGATGCTGAGCAGTGAAAATAAAGTCGGATCTGTGATATACATTCCCTACAAACAACATACATGAAATGGTGCCACTTACTTAGTTTTCACCAGAGAAGTCTGTGACAGCCAATGATCTCATCAGGGTAAGGTAAGCACCCGGGGAACTATCTGGGATTGTTCGGAGCTGTTTACATTACTTAAGCTCAATTAGCTATAAAAACAGAGAGTAGCTGTAGGGTTTGTGTTTTAACCATCTGTCAAGAAATACTGACTGGAAGAAATATGCTGCACATTTCACCCATCTCAGCACAATGCGGGTTCATGTGAAGCAGAGGTTTTCAAACTGTGAAGGAGAGTTGCATTGAGGGCACAGAGGGAGAGACGTGAGGCAAGTGCGTGAGGTGAAAGATACTGCTGCATGCTACTGTTCTGAAAACAACGGGAAGTTAGTTATTGTAGTTTGGCCACAACACAGTCAGCAGTGGCACAAAACTCACAGAGGCAATTTAAATACATTAAAAACATTAAAAAACATCCTGAATCTGTGACAAACATCTCTCTCCTTCTCATAGTCTGATCTCAGTTAAATCTGAACACACAAACATATATTTTTAGATTCATTTCAAAAAAATCCTCGCCCTGAGAATCATCACAATGTCCCTTTTTGTGTATGTATTGCTAATAGTTTTCTACTATTGAAAGAAATAAAAAAGGTCTTTGGGAAAATGTCATGTCTACTTTTTGTCTCTGCTTTTTTCTCTGGTGTAAGTTTTTGTTTGGTCTGTCACTTAACAAGGGCAAAATGTGCGTTGATGTTTTCTTAGTTAGATAAGAAGGAGACCTCAGCAGGGACGCTGATGTGGATTCTTCAGAGTCTGTGGCTCCTGTGTTGTGTGGCAGGCTGCTGTCTGTCTTACTGTGACTGTCGCTCGGCCTCGGTCTGCTTCGATCATTTGTATGGAGATCAAGTCCTACATTAAACCTGTAGATACAAGCCCGAGCCATGCAGCCAGCTTCTTTACAGCAGTAAATAACCATGGCCAATTACTACTTTTTTGTGGACCACTCATGCGCCCCAAAACACCCCTACTCAACCGTAATAATCCTGCTCTCTTACAGTAATGACAGCCTAGCAGGCAACTGAGCTCTGCTGCAACACAATGCACAGCACATGACTTAAGACAGAGATAAACAGACAAAGGGAGTAAAAGAATTGCTCTTTGCTTTGTTGTTTGCAAAAGAGCTTGCCTCAAACTGGCTATTTATTTCAGCTGTAACAATGGAGTTTTTTTCAACCGCGTGTTTGTATATGTGTACATTATTTACTTCCTCTTGGCCCTTCAGTTGCAGAAAGAAGCAGCCTAAGGCGATCTTTAAAGTGAGCTGAAAGTAAATACTTGTGTCTGTGCCTGGCGTCTTAGATTCAACAATCTGTTTATGAAGTGTTTTGCTGAGAGGTAGGGAGTCACACTGATTCTGTCAGGTCTGTAAATGGATAGTTAATGGTCAGTGTGCACAATTACCTGCAGCAGGTGGTCCCAGTAGCATGGGGAAGCATTCGATGATGGTGACCAGTCCAACCGCACTGGGGAAGCGCTCACTTCCCATCAGGTCCATCAGACATTCAAATATCAGCGCGAAGACCATGCCGAAACCCACGCCAAAAAACACTGCGTAGACCACCATGTAGGCGTAGCTCGTCATCAGCGGGCACAGTAAGTGGCACGTGCCGTTGAAAATCATGGCAAAGCTGAAGAAGTACTGGATTCTTGGCCTGATCCACTTGCTGTTGGCTATCAGGCCTGTGCCAGGCCGAACAAACATGTCCACAAAGCCCATAATAGAGAGTAAATAGGCTGCGGAGTACTCCTCTACGCCTTGGCTAATAGCATAGGCTGACAGGAACACAATGGGAGCATAGGCACCGAAGATGAACATTATGTTCCCAATGAGGTAAATGACAAAGCCTCTATCCTTGAAGAAGGTCAAATCCAAGAAACTCCCAGCATTCTTCATACAGCGTCCGTTTCGCGTAGTGCTGCGGCCATTTGGCAGTTCCTTCACTTCATTCTGTGGGGCACTAGATGATGGCTTGCAAGACACAATAACAGGTCTCATCAGGGCCCCGGCAACACAGCAATTGAGCATCAGACCCCCAAGGATTAGGAGACTTCCTCTCCAGCCAAACTTGACCAGTAAATATTGGTTGACAGGGGCCAGGAAACATAGAAACACGGGACTCCCAGCCATGGCTAGTCCGTTGGCTAACGGACGCTTGGCCAGGAAATACTTGCTGATGATGGTGAGAGATGCATTGAGGTTTAAGGAGAGTCCACAGCCTGTGTGAAGACAGAAAGAAACAGTCAAAAATATAAAATTTAAGATTTCTCAACATCTGGGGAAATCTTGGGTTATCTAAACATTAAGCATCACAAAGTGGCATCTTATTGTGTATTTGGCAAAGAAGGGATAAAAGCAATACAAAAAATAGTGAAATGTTAAAGAGTAAAACGATGGGGTAAAAAGTAATTTACAAATTTAGCTTTAACTTAAAATGAAAAAGTTTTGACTAAATTTGAGCACACCTGATTGTCCACAAGCCAATGTAGACATGCAGACATTAAAAACTACAGAAACTTTCCACTACCTTGTTTAATTTATTTCAAGGGGAATCTAACTGAATCCGACCTTAAAGCCATGCGTGCATTAAGAATAACTACAGAAATAGCCAGTCTTCTCGCTGATGGTCTTGTGTGCTTATGTAGGTCCTATAGAGGCATCAGCATTAAATTTAGACTGTTTCATAAACAGTTAAAAACTCCTTGTAGTAGGTTTAGATGTCCGTCGGAGTGGCGTCTGATACAACCGCATAAGTCTTGGATAAATTGTTGCACTGTAATACACACCTTTTCCATTATCTATTCAACAGTCTACTGCCAGATATTTCTATTTTGTGCATGTATTCTCACTATCCTGAACCCTCACCAGCTTTTTACCAAAAAACACTGTGTTAGTGGAACATACAACTAAGCCAGAAGTACAGTACAACCCTGGGTGAGACCTTGTGTTATGACAAGTAACCTGGATTGTTTGTCACTAAAAAAGATGCAGTGGGACAACAAAGAAAGACAATCAGTTAAATTTGAAATCTTGGCTAGGATAAATGCAAGGATACGTCCTTAATAAAAGAAACTCACTGACTCTGAGGTTTTTCAACTTCATGGTTATCTTTTCAGGTCTATGCGTGTGAGCATATATATCTGCCTGTCTGGTAGGTGAAACTGCCCAGTGCCTATGTGTCAGTGTGCCATGGCACAGGGGAGAGGAGCAGGGTGCATACATGCCCCCGGGCACCACACATGGCCCAGCCACTTGCTGGGCCTATTAATCCTTCACAGCAGTCCTTGGCAGGGTAATGAGCCTCGCAGGGTGGCATGGAGCCCCCATGTGACGACCATGATGGGAGCCTACGGGAGAGTACAGAGGGCCACGGCAGACCACACTCTCTGGGATCAGGGACGGTTCTGTCTTAATTACTGTCCTGGTTCCCTTGGTGCTCAAACTGCACCCCAGGAGCTGGGGCAGATGCCCTGTGCCCCAACAAACAGCATGGCAACCCAAGGGAACCAGATCTGGCAACCCAGAGATTCTGAAGGGATGTGAAAAGATTCAGACTTTGTCTATCTCAGAGGGGGCTTAACCAGGGGCTGATGGGAATGGTAAGCAAAGAGGTAAACAAGTGTGGGATCCATGTCATGAAATGAGTTGGATTATTCAGCTGACTGCAAACACTTTGTCTTCAGTTTGGGGTTGTGATCAACTAATTGTGTAATGATTCCCCGGGGTGGTATGCAAGTAGTAAAATCTATCAACCTGGCTAAAGCTTTCCAGACAGCAGTGTGACAAGATATTAGAATATATATTTTTTAAATATCCAAGTTCTGTACCTCCAATGATGCCAATGCATAAGTAGAGGTAAATGATGGAGGTCCCAAAAGAAGCGGTTACCATAGAGACCCCGCACATCAGTCCACCCAGCATGACTACTGGCCGGCTTCCAAAGCGTTTGACCAACACACTGCTTATTGGTCCTGCAAAGAGAAGGAGAAAGAGAGAGGGGTTCAGAGTTATCATATGTTACATCTCAATATAAACAGTTGGTAGTAAGTTAGTAATAAACGTACCTACTGCTAGTGATCAAGGGTTCACACAACAGCACCAGTTCTAAACCAAGGGCAAAGTGACATCACAGTGCGTGATCGAACACCGCCACACTTTTGTGTTCACTGCAAAGCAACGTGGCGACTCATTATCCTCTCCCCTGATAATGTCAAATACTGCACTCAGTGATCAATCAGCAATTAAACAGCCTTTTATATGCTGTCACTCTTCCCTTCATTCATAACCTTGCCTGAAAGAGTGACATTGCACCACTAGTCCTTCTGCAGCACGCCATAATGAAAACTTCTTTCTTCTCCTTGCTATAAAGACCAATCGTTTGAATATATATTTATTTTACCCAATTCATATAGGAAAATGGAGAGAGCATCAATCAAACTAATATATGGGCTGCCATCATTATTGAAACATGCTGCAGCTTTTCAAGTCAGTGGCGGGAAGGGCCTCTGTGTGGATAGTGATAATTGAAAACAGCCCAGTGAGCAGTAAGAGGATTACATGTTTGGCAAACACCTACTGTCTTCAAGAGCATGTTTACCATGGATGATGATTCATTTCTCAGTGCATGAAAAAATAAAATTACTAAGAGTTATGTTGTCTTAAACTGAATCTGTGTGAACTAAAGTATGTTCTGAATTCCTTCAAAACTGTGTATATTTATGATTTATTCTACTGATTTATGATTACGTCCAGCCATGAAGGATTTGCATGACCGCATTCTTTATATCATTCTCCTAATTTAATGTTTTTACTGCCTTCATATGTGGATTGTACTGTACTCATGCCTTAACTTTTTTTTTCATAACCCATAATTATTGGAATCTGTACATATTTTTCTACAAAACCTTATAAAAAAAACATTACTGCAGCACTTATCAAGCCAGCAGGCAGCAGTTTGTCGAACAAAATCAGCAGCACAGGCCAACTAACAGAACACATTTTAGTGCATCATTTCTTACTGAATTAACTTCAAAATACAATTGCTTGTCCAGAAATCTCTGAATGGTTTTAGGTCAAAGATACTAATCAGTTCTCCTGACCCAGTACGAACCATGCAGATCCCTCAGCTCAGCTGGTTCTGAATTACTGGTTGTTCCCAGAGTCAAAACTAAACATGGTGAAGCTGCCTTTACAGTAACTTCTGTGCTGCTCAAATGTGGAACAAAACTGCCAGAAGAGTTAAGGCCTTAAGACAATGTTGACTACTTTCAAATTCAAGAGAAAGACCTAAATGTTTAACATTGCATTTACTCTAATTCATTTTCTTTTAAATCAAATTATTTGTTAGTTTGTTTTATTTGTATTGGGCTTTTCATTGTTTTTATTGTTTGTCTTCAATGCTTGCTTTTATTGTTTTTATCATTTGTTTTCTTGTTTTTTGTGCTTCTGCCTCTAAGCACTAGCCTTCGGGTAGAAAATAAGCTCTATAAATAGATTTGCCTTGCCTTGTTACAAACACAGTTTTGACCATCAACAACATAACATCTTAAATGTGTTTCCCACACTTTGCTTCCCCCTCAGGCCTCTGTATATCTTTCAGCTACTGCAGTGCATTGCTATAAAGTGAAGTCTGTTAGCATGTCACGCTGCCATAGGCTAATTCTAATGTCAGTTCTTCCACAAGCCAATACTGTAATTTCAAGATCCAGGGCTACAAATAATGATTATTTTCATTAATAATGAATTAATTATCAGGAATTAGAAGAAGAAAAACATTAAAACCCTGACAATTTAGAAGCTGGAACCAGAAGATGTAGAAATATATTTTCTGTTAATAATCAATCGACTAACTGTTTCAGCTCTACAGTATAGAGATGTTTGAGGAGAATAAAGGAGCACCTGAACTCTTCAGGCTACATCTGTCTGACAAGCTGTCCATGCACTGATATCACAACTTTAAAAATACACTAAAAAACACATATTTATGCTTATATGCGTATACACATATACAGTACGTGTGTAGAAAATGAGTAAAACACAACTGAGTCAAAATGAAGTTCTTTCCTTTTTTATCACGCTGAGCTGTACAGAACTGTCCTCAACAACTGTATCTGCTGTACCACTGTAACTACACTATATGAAATAAAAATATCCATCCTGCTGTTTATACAGTTAACCAGGTGCCTGCAGGGGTCAAAGATAGATCATCTTTCTCTCTGTAGCTGTGTCACAATAGGGCATCTCCCGCACCACCACCATTTCTACTTCCATTATAACTTTATCATTCGGACTTCTTGAGTCAGAGGTTCTCTGAAAAGGCTGTCACGTCTCTCCCATGGGGACCTGGTGTCAGACCCCAGTGTGCTGAACCTTCCTCTGATATATTCCCCCTGTCTCTCTCCTCCACTGGGTGACATTGCTGAAGCCTTGCCAAGGACAATATGATAAAGCCCTGTGCCTGAGCCACAGTGGAGGGGAATATTTCACCAGTTAGGCCTCTCTCAGTTGAGTGCAGGTGAGTCACACAGAGTGTTGTCCTGTAACCTTGAAAGCAGCTACTGATGTATTCACATAAAGCCTCCACAAGACTTTTATTTTGTCAAATTTTGTGTCATCTAATGAGTTTTCCAAAGAACTCCAAATACCTATATTGTGGAACGAGACCAAACACACACTGTGGAAAAGTCATGTCAGGTTTCTCAGATTGTTTGGCCTGTTGGAAGCAGGGATGTAGCATGTGTATCCTGTGTGACATAAGCCCAGGTGCAATAGTCTTGTTGGGGCCACAGATGCAGATATAAATGTAATATAAAATATGCAAGGTGAGTGGTAGAAACACACCATTCCCGTTACTAAGTAATCTACCACGACTATGTGCCTGCACATATTTTATTGGCCCTTGGCAGATGACATTGCATTGAGCTCCAGCAAAAGTTGAGCCAAATAAATTTTTTTCCTCCCCAGAGACCTCTGGGTTGGCCTATTCAAATGAATGAGGGGGGCTGTGTTTCTTCTGGGAGTCTGTTTGAACACAGCCTTAAGGGGTCGCAAGATTTATCTGGTCACAGTATTATTTATTTAATAGGTTATTATAGGACCAATGTGTAGGATTTAGTGGCAATCTAGCAGTGTAGTTACAGATTACAACGCCCTTGCCTCACCCTCCCGTTTCAAGCGTGCAGGAGAAATGATGGCGGCTGCGAAACTTGCGCAAAAAACATAAATGGCCTTATCTAGAGCCAGTGTTTGGTTTGTAACTTCTGCAATACTGTAGAAACATGGCGGTTCAACACTGCGGACTCCATCCCTTGATAGATCAGAACAGCTCATTTAAAGGTAACACTAATGAAAACATAGCTATATATATTATATTCCATATCTGCCAATACACCCTCCTAAATGTTACACACTGGACAGTATACAGAAAAAAAATTATTCTACTATACAAAATAATGTTTTTGTATTTTTTAGGTATTTTTCCAGACCTTTCTCAAATCTTAACTTTTCACTTTTCAAAACAGTTTCTTTAATAAGAAACTATCATCATCATAAACAGCTGTTCCTTTAGGCACTAAGATGCTTTTAAACAAATTACTGAGATACTTTCTGTTCAGTATGAACCTGAAAAAGTGAAATTACTCATAAATAAACAGTGTCAGTGTGCATAGTTTAATTTAAGTCAGGTGAGTAATACAAGCTAACATCACTCCTCTTATTAGGCAGCCTAACACTATTTCAGTGGGTGCAGTAACTCATGTGAACTAAATTGTTCAATTATCTATCTGGAGTATACAGCACAACAGTGGTTTCTTTGTAGAGAAGAGAGATGTTTTTTTCATTTGCTATGTGCACATCCGTAGTCAGCTGGCCATTAGCTGTAGTCTCTGTGGTGCGTTCAGGTGTAACTTTTAACGGGAGATGTGAGGCAATGAGTCTGATCAGCGGACCATTATCAGTGCTAGTTCTTGAGATGAACTTGGTGTGTCAGAGCCGTAGGGGGAATACAATCCAATCCAAAAAGAGAGACAAGACCAAGAGAATAAAAACAGTTCAGTCTGGTTAGCCTGAAGGCTACTGTATGCAGGCCAATACAAATGTGCTATCTAGTCATGTAAAGAGTATTGATTAAGAGGTGCTGACTACAAAACCTGTGATAGCCTGAAGCCATGTGACCTCAGATAACACTGAATACCATACAGCTCTGCTGCAACTCTAGATTTAAAGTTATTGTATTGGTACAGGTGGTTTATTGATACAGTATATTTGTATTTATTACCACAGATATATCAGCATATATGTGGGTTGATAAGTAACAAGAAACTATAGTACAGCAATGTTAAAGATATATGTTTGAAGTAGTTTAGTAACAGTAGCACCATTACATAGTTTGTCCATCAGAGAAAACTGTTTTTAACTGTAAAATGTCCTGCTCAGTAAGCAACTTGCACATATGTCGTCTACATACATATGATTTATGTTGATTGTTTTATTTTTTCTTTTTTCCTTCCCAAGACCTAAAACGCGACTATATAACGATATACTCAACGATGTTTACAGGGTGTGGACCATGTCACTCAGCATGCAGTTAAACAAAACAGGGATCCGCTCATAGAAAAACAGCTACAGGTCTAAAACTAATCTGCATATATCCGGATACAAGACACTGGGTCTGGATAGGATCTAAAATAAAAAAACATGCATCTATATTACTGACATCCTGGAAGGAGTTGTATGGAGTGTCAAGGGAGAGGGCTCCACTTTAAATGTAAATTGTGAAGGTTGTTGTCATATGACCCAAGTTTTTGTTTTTGGTAAAATTGCTATTTCCACGGTCAATCTTCTTTTGGGTGTGTTTTTTTTATTGCCTTTAATTGATAGTGATAGTTGAAGAGTGACAGGAAAGGGAGAAGAGAGAGGAGACAACACGCAGCAAAGGGCCACAGGTCGGAGTTGAACCCATGGCCGCTGCAGCAAGGGCTCAGCCATTGGTACATGGGGCTGCCAGCTCCACCAGGTGAGCCAGGTACAGTACCGATGCTCACTGTAATCACCACCATAAAAAAGGAAGACAAAAGAAGCTTCTCCTGCACTACAACCGTGAAGCATTAAAGACCTGCTTATCAAAGAGACGCACAAAGCAATATGCATACTGAGACCATCCCCTTTCAACAACAAATTTAATAAGCAAGCTTTTGAAAGATACACGTTTCTAGATAAGCATATTACCAAGCAGGACAAAGGCAACTCAAAGGTAAGCTTATCTTCCTCTCAAAGTATAAAGAACTGATTTGTGACAGACCAGTGCTAATTTGTTCACAGGGATACTGATAATAGTCCCTTATATATAATACTTTTTCCATTAGGGCAGACCAATTCAACAAATACTGACTGAATCAACTCACCGCCTGCATACATGGCAGCTAGCATGATGGAGGATATCAATGCTATTTCACTGAACGTGGACCCCAAGTCCTCTTGGATCTCTTTGAAGAAAATAGACAGGACTTTGGGCGTGGCATAAGCGAATCCAATGGAAATGTGGGCCCCAAACACAACCATCCAGCCCCAACCACCATCCAGGGGTTTGTGGTCCAACTCATCTGCTGGAGCAGGGGACATGTTCCTGTTCAAAGAGTGGAAAACATACACGACATTGTGTTACCAACATATATGCTGTGACTGAGACAATTACGTACATATTAAAATTGCATAAATTATATCATGCAGAAGTGATAGTTTTGCTTTAACTGTAATGACTGTGAGTTTAAAGGAACCATGTGCAGTAATGTATGTGCAGATTGCAACTCCCTCACTTCACAACTCCACTACAGTGGCCATGGAAACACACAGGAAAATGAGAACCGCCTTATCTAGAGCTACTGTTTGGTTTGTTTCAATTCTGGGATACTGTAAAACATTGGCGTTCAACAAAATGGCGGACTGAAAATAGTTCATCTTGTTTATTAGATAATACACTAACATACCTACAATATTAATTTTTCTCTGCCAATAGATCTCCTAAATGTTACACATGCACCTTTAATGTCCACAAATTAAACAAATTTCAAAATAAAACTATATATATTTAAATGGTATTTTAATAAATGAACACCAGCACTACATGGCAACTAAATCAAAGGTGTGCTGTTTCCTGAAGCTGTTAGTAAACACAATAATAGGATTGACTGACCTCTGCAATCAGTTCCTGATGATGAGCACACAATGCTGATTTATCATCATTACATCAGGCTCTTCGGTTACATAGCGACTTTAAATGAATATACATACATGGTCATAATCATTAATCACTGGGCCTTTAGTGTTTATTAGGCATCACGTGACAGCGTGCCTAATTAATAAGGGACAGCGTTGACAAAAGTGTAACATATGTCTTACTAACGCAGTAGAAACAAGAGAAGATTCGCCTGTGTTTGTTGAGTAGTCGGCCGGGCAGACAGCATCTGTTATGTGCCTCCATTCACGGTGAAACTCCAAATAACTCCAGCGAGAGCCGCTTAGTGTGTTTGACTGAATCCTAAACGCAGCTTCTTCTCTCAAATGAGTGAGGAAGTGAACCGCTTTACAGCAGAGCAGTTCTCAAAACGGGCCAGATGGAACGGGTTAAATGAAGAAAGTAAGGGAGAGAGAAAGAGAGAAGAAACAGGAGTGGGGGG